CGCCCGGCTCGCCCGACGCGCGGCGCAACGGCCAGGAGAAGCACTTTAAGGACGAGGAGGAGGACGAGGACGAGGCCAGCCCCGAGGGCCTGGGCAGGTTGAATGTAGCGGGCGCCGCAGGGGGAGGCGACGGGGGCGCCGGGGCCACCGCCGATGGCAGCTTCGCGGCTGGACTTGCCTGAAAACCAAAAAGAGAAAGCAGAAACCCGAGAGAGAGAGAGAGAGAGAGAGAGAGAGAGAAAGAGAGAGAGAGAGAGAGAGAGAGAGAGAGAGAGAGAATCACCCACCACCCCCCAAAAACACAAAAAAAGAAAATCTATCTATATACAGATATCTATATCTATATATATATATATATATATACAGATATATATATATGAAGCGTCACAGAATCTAGGGTAGTGCTTTTCTCAGATTCTTCTCCTTCATGCTCTCTCCTTCCACGGGGACCCTCGCCCCACCCCCACCCGCAGCCCCTCTTCCCCCCACCCCGACGATGGCTTTCGGGGCTCGGTTTGGGGTTTTTGTGGGACACAAGGATTCTGAGCTTCCCGGGCGCCGCCGGCTCGGGGTCTGGGGTCCCATCCGAGGCTTGGTCGGGGCCCTGGGCCCCGGCAGGGGTAAGTGGGGCCTCGGGGGGCCGGGGACCTGGATGGGCTTTTCCTTTCCTTTCCTCGCTGGTTTCTAGGAGTCTTTGAGACAAGACCTTAAATGATTTCTGTCCGCTGTGAGCGGACGTTAAAATGGCCCCGTCCTCCCACCCCCACCCTCCTTCCTCAGGGCACTTCCTAAGTGGGGGTCTCCCCCTCCATCTCCCCGCCTCCCATTCCTTCCTGCCTGTGGTCCCCCGTGTCTCCTGGCCACTGGGACACAGATCTATTTATTTCCAGGTGTGGAGAAAGGGGGGAAGACGAGGTGGGGGGACACCAGGGAGGCTCCCCGGGGTCCCCACTGCCTTCCTTCATGGCACTTAGGACCCAGCGTGACCCTCGGGCCACCGCTCAGGGCTCCCTGCCACCCCTGTCTTCATCCCCTGACCCCAGCCCCCCAGACCACATGAGATGTTTGGAGATTCGAAACTTTTTGTCTTCACCCTCTCCCCTCCCCCTAGCCCTCTCCCAATTTTTTAAAGCACTTTTAAGGTTTTTTTTTCTCTTCCTCCTTAAAAACAAAATTTATATATAGATATATATATATATATATGAAATATACTTTTCCTCAGAGGAGCAGGCAACAGTGTGGGGTGAGAGCCAAGAGGAGAGGGAACCCAGGGTCTCACGGTGGCAGGGATGAGGGGAGAGAATGTCCAGAAGTTCCAATGTCACAAAAGCAATAAAAACAAGATTTTACAAAATGAAAGGAAAAAAGAAAAAAAAACACAAGACAACCAACCACAAATAGAAGTCTTGGCACTTTGTAACAGAACGGGTACTACGCTTTAGCTTAATTCTTAATTTAAAAAACATGTTTACAAGTTGCAACCAACTTCTATGAAAAGTCAAAAAGACAAAAAAAAAATGAGAGAGCGAGAGAGAGCGAGAGAGAGCAAACAAATTCCTAAAAGTCAATTTATTTTTGTACAAAATAATAAAAAAAGAAACCCACTGCAGACGTAGAATCCACTTCTGTTCCCCGAGGTGAGAAGGGTCAGGAAGGCACGGGCGAGGGCGAGGGCGAGGCCTTCTGAGGCGTTTGTGCTTTACCACGGGGGCCTGCCTTGCAGGCAGGACTGTGGGGTTTTTGTGTTTCTGCCGTGTCCCCACCAACCCCTCCACCCCCACCCTGTCCTGTCCTTTTTTTGGGCTCTGATTTGGAGATGTCTCATTACTTGCTAGCCATTCAGTGGCCACCCACGTCCACGGGGACCCTCCTTACCGACTCCCCAGCTCAGGGATGGGCCCGAGAGAGGGCTGGCCTTCCAACCAGCCAGAGCAACCCTGTGTCCCTGCCCTTGTCCCCTACCCTCGCTGTCCCCCGCCCTCCAACATGGCCGCCCTTCCTTGTGGCCACCGAGGAGCTGCCATCTTGGATATGCCATCCCCGTTGAGGTGGGCGACCAGGGGCCCCGTCTCCAGGGCCTTACACCCTCCCCGACACCCCTCTTTTTACTCAAAGGCACTGACTGTAATCTGGGGGCTGGCACCTGCCTCCCCCCCAGCCTCTGGCTCCCCAAAGGCCCGGTGTTGACCGAGCCACAGGCCACGGATTGGGGCCAGGGCTAGGGAGACCGTGTTGCCAGAGGCCAGGGCACCCTCCCCACTCCCCGACTGTCGCATATGCAACCCTAGTGTGGGACCCTGTAAATAGACACTCTGCTGAGCTGAGACCCTTCCTCGTCAATACCCAAGGTGTGGGGGTGTCCCTGCTCCCCACCTCCAGCCACTGGCCCATTACCCCATGCCCCTTTGTTCTGTGACAAACCCCATCTTTTTCTTGGTTTTAAAGGGAAGCTTTTTAAGAAGGCAACTTTCATCATTGTTTCTACAGGATAGTTTTTGTTTCTTCCTGCTCTCCCCCTCCCCCCCGAGCCCTTAGCCCCCCAAATGTCTCAGGACCCCCCCTCCTGAGGGGGGTGGCAGGGGAGCCCAGGGCCGGGTGGCCCCGTCCACAACCCAGCGTCATGGGGCGAGCTCTTGCTGAGAACCATCTGTGGAGGCCGAGCGGAGAGCTCAAGTGCCCAGGCCAGGGACCCCCCCCACCCAACTCCAGCTCCCAGAGAGGTTCCCCAAGGGGACAGCCCTCTCCCCACTACTCATACACCCCCTCGCAATAAAACCAACTGAAAAAATCACAGCTGTCGTCCTGGCCAGTGGGGGCGACCGAACTTGGGGGATCGAGGCCTCTGGGACTATGGCGGGGGCAAGGGCCGAACCCCGCCGAGCACACTTTAACACAAACCTCCTCGGGAATTGCACTAAACCCTTGCCCCTAGCTCTGCGCTCAGCTTTTGCCAGCCCTGCCCATCCACTCCGCCTTAACCCCTCTCCTGCTGCCCGCCAGCCCGTCCCCGGGGGCCGCAGCATCTGCATGGGCCCAGTGCCGGGACCCGCGCCCTCCCAGCCCAGTCTCCCAACTCCGCGCAATCACATACTGTATATAGACGTGGATCAATTTTATTTTTATTCTTTAAATTAAGGTCGTGATAAAGTGTTGCCAAAGATACTGCTGAATTCTTGCGTTTCAGGAAACAAACAAACAAAAATATTTGAGGGGAACGTGCTGACTGGTCAGAAAGGACACAGCAAAAAGTTTTTTTGTTTGGTTGTTTGGGGTTTTTTTTGTGGTTTCTTTTTTTGGGGTGTTTTTTTAACTGCCTGGTACAAAAAAAAAAGAAAAAAGAAAAACAGCAAAATTGTTATTTCCATCATCTTGGTGAAGTGTGGATGTGTGTGCGCGTGTGTGCGAGAGTGAGGTCCAGGTGGGGGGCTCCAGGTGGGGGCTCCAGAGGGGCGCACCGGGGCGGGGGCAGGGGTCCCTGACAGGATGGTGGGGGACGGAGCCCTCACCTGGAGCGGTCGCCAGCCTTCAGGACCAGGGAGAGAGAGATTAGCACCCTTGCTGCTGCACCTGCCTAGCCCCGACCTTGATCCCCACCCTGCCTTTTGAGATTAAGAAGAAAAAAAAAAGCAAAAAAAAAAAAAATAAAAACTAAACAGAGATAAGTAAGTCGGACCGAACGACCGGACCGATCCGGGTGGTGGTCGGGTGGTCC